CACACCAGTCTCCATTCACGGTGTTTTGATCCTTGCTAACAAGGACTCATCTCTGCGTGTGGACAAACCTGCAGCTACACAGGTAACACTTTACACCGCAGCTGCTCACAAACACCTTTGTGTGAATGTATGTTTTAAAGTGTGTGTTGATGTTTCTGTTGTGCAGGTGGAGGTGCTGAGCTCTCCGAAGTCTGTCCAGAAACACGTGGAGCTCCGACAGCTTCCCCTGGGGTTTGGAGGATCCTTCATCTTCAGTCAGAGCAGCTGGGTCAGCTTCAGATTGGTCAGTGTAAAACTCGCACACAGATTAAAATGAACAGTCAAAAGGAAACAACAAGGCAGACGTGTAACAGTGAAACACACGAACGCGGAGAAGTCTGTTAGTTAGAACAATGTCAAACCTTTCTTAAGTGTTTCGATGATTTGTAGTCATCAGAAAACTGTTTCACCTACATGAGTATAAGACTCAGACTCATATTCCATGTTTGTACTGATGCGTGCTGGACAGACGTCTCAGTGTCACAACAAACCCAAATCAGTCAGCACAGGTTAATCCCTGCTCGCTGGTGCAGGTGAGGCATGTCTGATTCTGGACTTTCACAGCTCCTCTTTGCTTTTCTGCAGCTGAAACGTTGCATGCTTCATTAAAAAATAATTGGACAGGTTGTCCCACATTCCTGGGGTGCTAATGACATGAGGTTTGTATTGTAGAGTGGAAGGTTTTATTCACCTTCCAGTTGACTATTTAAAGCTTCTTTTCTTCTTTCATTAGTGAGTTTAAGTGTGCGGCTTTGGAAACGATTCACACAATGAAAATGTGTGTTTGTCCCTCAGAGACTGGAGCAGCTGACCCGTCAGTGTGAGGACGTCATCAGCCTGCTGCAGAAGAGCATCAACGCGCTGCAATCCACACCTTTACCGAACACTGCTGAGGTAAAAACACACACGGCATGGAAAGAGTGCTAGATCTGTGTCTACTCCTCACCTGTAAAAGGCCGACGGGGTACTGTGATTACCCCGCCAGCCGGGCGCGCGTGGACACCTTAGTTTGTACATGCGAGGGTGAGGCAGCAGAGGAGCTTCAAATTGATACCATAGGTGTGTCTGCTGAGGGGTAGCCAGTATTTTTACTTTAGGAACCTAAATCTGTCCAATTAACAACAAATTTGTTAGTTATATAAGAACAATCGGGGGGAGGTTGTAGTCTTTAGGAGAGCTAAGGACTACAACTCAGGCAGTTGAACTCTGAACCATCCTCCCCGCTTGGAGTTTGAGATACAGTCGTCTTTTTAAGATATCTGATTGGATGACTGAAAGACTGTCTCGTGCTCCTAATCCTTCCTGGGCAAATGGCACTCTGACCAAATTCACGGTGCTATTCCAGAACTTTTTCAAAACTTTTGTAAAGTTTATCATTTCCTGTTCTTATGTTATACAAATTGGGTTTAATATAAAACTGGAAATGAGGTCTAAAAGTTGGGCTCATTGAAAACATGAACAGTTTCAACAGGAGGCTGTTGATCCCTTTACAAGTATTAAAATCCACTCTGCGTGTTTTTATTCACTTGAACAGTTTGTGGTTTTGCTCTCCGTTCTCACATAAAGGTTCAGACACCAGCTCAAACCTCTCTGTCTTTGCCAGGATGCCGAGCTGCTGCTGTCCCGCTACAGGGCAGTGATGTGCAGCATCCTCGCAGACAGCCGATTGGTGCAGCTCCAGCAGGAGGGCGGCGCCTCGCTGGCGTGGCTGCGCAGGGAGGAGAGCAGCGTCGGCGTGGCGGTGGACCAGCGGGCGGCGGTGGAGTCAGTGTCGGCTCTGTACGAGCAGGTGGACGAGCTGCTCCACCGCCTGGTGATGCTGTCCAACTCCAAAACGCAGGAGCTGAACTTCATCGCAGACTTCAGGAACCTGGAGCAAGGTTTCAGCGAGGTCAGTCTGAGCACGCTCAGTATGCATCGTTCATACTGACATTTACATCAGTGTCGTCTTAATGTGAGGAGTTGACTTCATGATGAACCGTGACACTGAGACACTCCCACCTCCTTTGTTTCCTTGGTTACGCTCTTAGCCAGTGATCAAAGTGTGGACAGCAGCCCCCTGGTGTGCTGTGAAGGTACTGCAAGTAGGCCAAAAGAAGTAATGCACAATAAATACATTAAAAAAATATAATTTTCAGATGTTTTTCTTTTTTTTTAACCTGAACTCTGGTGTCTTGTATCTTGTCAGTAGGAGGAAAAAACTAAAGTGGAGCTGTGGTTGTCAGATGTAGGGAGGTTTTAACTTACTACATCTTTTTTGTGAAACGAGGCATGTTTGGAAATATGCGCTCTAAGCTGTAAGCAATCGAATTATTACCTGATAACATCAGATTAATATCAGATCAATAACCATCAACAGAAAAACACCAATTATGTGTTTGGAGTTAAACTGGAACGAGTTTGTCTTCTGAAGCTTTGACAGGATGAAACACTTCCCTCCCTGAGCACACTCACAAATGAATGATTAGGAAAATGAATAAACATTAGATGATATATGGATTTCATAAATGGGTAATTCAGGTTAAAGTAGATCCATATGTGAGTGATTTGCTGCTTGTGGGTGTGGATGAACTGTCAGACATTTGGCCCTCAGCTGACAGAGCTGCAGCATTGATTGGTTCTCTTTTTCCTTTCTTAGCCTTATTTTTTGTTTTTCTGTCATTCTTTGACTTCGTAACCATAAAAAAAAGTGTTGACTGGATTTCTGTTTGGTTTTTTTAAGAAAGAGCTTTTAGATTTAACTGAGCCGAGGACATGCCTCGCATCTCACCTGGCAGGGTGGGAGGTTTGATCCTCTGGATCACATGTTAATGTGCAGTTTACCTTACTGTGTGTGTGTGTGTGTGTGTGTGTGTGTGTGTGTGTGTGTGTGTGTGTGTGTGTCAGGTGAAGACGTGGCTACAGGAGGTTGGTGAAGTTCGTCTGAAGATTCTGGAAGAGCCCGCAGACTCTCTGGTGCTTCTGAATGAAAAACAGCAGGACTACAAGGACTTTTGCACAACGGCATACGTACGACACACACACACACACACACACACACACACACACTCGTTCAAACATTTCTTTTAGCCCATACTGAGGACTGGTCCCCACAGAGGATGAGGTCTGTTTCCTCTGTGTGCAGGACCAGTGTAAACGAGGGAAGGAGCTGCTGTCTCGGCTGGAGCGCCGGGACGACGTGCCGTCCGCTGACCTCCACATTTACGAGGACAAAGTTCACTCCTTCTGGGCTCAGCTGCAGGATTTCACTCAGCGGGTCAGCAGTACCGGGCAGAACATCGAGCGGGCCGTCCGACTCTACGGCTTCTTAGATCAGGTACAGTCACTGAGGCTGTGGCTCATCGGATCGGTTTTTAATGGCAGTTTGAGCCTCACGGTCATCTAATGTGTAAATCTATATTTAATCTGGTGCTTTCTGAGATTAGCTAAAGTGAATTTCAGTGTTGTGAACAGTACTTGCTGCTCTTTCTGATTATAGCTCCAGCTGTGCTCTGATTTTTCATGTTTTACTGTCTCTCGGTTTAAACCATCTGAGAAGCCTGTCAGCTCTGTCTGAGCAGCTTCGAATCCATCTTCAGAAATCTAATTTTAGCTGCATGTAAAACAGCTGAATGTGGATCGGAGCAGCTGGTTTGTCGTGTCTCTCCTCCTCCTCCTCATATCGTCTCCCTGCAGTGAAACTGACAGCTTGTATTGAGGCCAGGAGGATGAAGAGGGGGGAGAGAGTGTCAATATTGCTTTGTGTACTGGACTCTTTGTAAAGGGGTGTGAGGGGGGTGATGGTCTTTGTCCACATGACTCTGTCTTGTAGGTTTGTTTGTGTGTTTTTATGTCATGCTGATACTTTTATAATGTGCAGATTCTTGAAATTCAGTCATGAAACAGTTGAAGTTGTCCCTCAGACATCCTATAAAAACAAAAGCACCGACCACAAAAGTTTCTTCGATCGTTGTTCACATCATAACCGAGAGCGACACGGCGTGAACTCCGGCGCACTTTCGGTTTTCTTTCAGAAAAGATTTAGACTCGTGTCATATTAGGACGTACACAGCGTAGGATGAGGACAGGGCCGTAGATCGACCGGTAAATCGGCAGCTTTGCTTTTACCCTCTTCTCCACAACAGATCGGTACAGCGTCCACATCACTACAGACACCACCCCAATCTAGTCTGTCAGTCTCTCACTCGTGAACAAGACCCTGAGATACTTAAACTCCTCCACGTGGGGCAGCAACAAGTCCTGTGACAACTGAAAAATCAAGAATCCAGTTGATCTGTCCAGATCCCACCACACACACACACACACACACACACACACACACACACACACACACTGGGTCCCAGTCACACTTAGCCCGAAGAAGTTACATGGTCCACATTCCTGCAACAAACTATATTTTCTATATCATCTCCCGAGGTGCAGCAGCTGCTGGGCCTCCTGCTGCCTCTTCAAAAAAACAGCCACTCATCCAAAGTCCCTTCTGACGACCTCGCGCGTCCGTAGACCTTTGTCTTTCATTTCATTTGTTTTTCGAAAGGATGATCCCAAATTCCCTGTAAAAAGACACTTCATGAAAAGTTGGTACTGAAATCAAGCGTACAATTACCAACAAAGTAATTATGGTTTTTGCTATAGCTCATAAGCTCGTGCGAATGAACACGACGGACCGACACATTTTTACTCGCTCGGTTTGCTGCTGAACTGGTTTAGCTGTTGAACTAAACCAAAGGAGAGAAACAGCCTCTCTGTTGAAATGCAACATAGAAATAGAAGATTTCTATCTGGGGAAAACAAAAATTGAAATTGCGATGACAAGAAGATTATTTTTCATTGTCTTTTCAAGCCTTTTCAAGCCTCACTTCCTGTCCTGTCCTGACATGTCTGCTCTGTGGGTGAAAACATCAGCCTGCGGGGATCCGAGCCGCCTCACTCAGTGGTGGGCTCGGCCGGTCGGCAGGCACGTGTTTCAGACCGATGTTTAAACTTTCACCAGTGAAGTTTGTTCGGATGCTTTAGTCACGCCACCAAATTCTGCACAACACAGACAGGAATGGTGTGTGTGTGTGTGTGTGTGTGTGTGTGTGTGTGTGTGTGTGTGTAGTCCAGGTATCACTCCGGTGCCAAGTTTTCTTTCCATCCCCCTTTCATTCCTTTCACCACAAAGTCTTTGTCGCCGTGGTGATGCCGCCTCCTCTCCTCCTGGGACCGCCCATCTGCCATTCAGCCCATTGATGAAGTGTGGGGGGGTCACTGTGTGTGTGTGTGTGTGGTCAGGATGCTGCTCTCTGCGCGCCTCACTCAGGCTTCAGAGCTTCAGCTGAACACACAGAGGTACGATACACACTTCTTACTGTTTTTTGTTGTTGTTTTTTTAAAAACACACACAGCTGAGGTTTGCTTTGGAGAAGTTTTATCAGCGTGTGTGTGTGTGTGTGTGTGTGTGGCAGTTTTTCAGCCGTTTGATGTTAACTTGGCGTCACTTTGACTGCAGAGAGATCTTTGAAGCTGCTCTCGCTGCTTGTTGCTCGCTCTCCCTCTCTTTCTGCCCGTGTGTGTGTGTGTGTGTTACCAGTTTACCTGCTGCAGATGTTATCGTGTCGTTTCCAGATCACGCATGTTGTCATGTTGCTGCGGCTCAGTGACATTCCCACCCTGACTCGTGTTTTTTGCATATAAAGCGACACAGGATTGCTGTCTGTTTCGATGATGGTGTGTCGGAGGTAATTTTGCTTGTCATGTGTTTTGGGGACGGAGACTCCAGCTAGAGTCTGCAGGAAAGGAAAGGAAATGGGTATTAGCAAATACAAAACTGGCTGTCTGCTCCATTTCACAGCAGTCACAGCGGCAGCATCATTCCCTTTTCCGCTTTGTCGTGTCCACATTGTTCACAGCTGAGTGGCAGGAAAAAACTCCAACAGCTGGCAGAGCGCTCTGTGCTCATAGGTGGACGATAAAGGGAGCAATCTCAGGCTACAGGTTCATTCTGCTGTACCTGCACACGCTGTCATTTCATTTCAAGGAGCCAGTAAAGAAACTTTAACCTTCCAGTCAGTAAACCAGCTGCTCCACCACAGCTATCAGAGCTCAGTCTCCAAAATCAGTTTGATTCATACCAACTTTTCTCTTCAGAGGGGATGAGCAGCATTTGGAGAAAACATTTGTTTTTTCTTGTATTTACTTATTTTTAAATATTTTTGGTAAAATCACTTAATCGTGATTAGATATTGGGGAAAAATAATGAATTCTATAATTTTGATCCATTTCCAGTTCACCCGTTACCTCTTTAAGAATCTTTAAAAATAACAGCTTTTAGCACAACAGTGAGGTTTGGAGGCGCTAGCAGCTCCACGTGGGCTCGCTTTCAGAATAGTTTCACCACGTCGCCTAGTTTCTTCTCGGTCGGCGATACACCGGATCTGGTCATGTGTCAGCTCATTTATTTAATACGCACCACTCGAACACAGTATTGGGTTCATTCTGAACCTCGTCGGTACCTGCTGTGATCCAAACCGTCGACACCTCCTCGGATCAGTTCCTCCGACTGCGTTCTGGCAGCAGTTCCCTTCTGTCAGCTATGACATGCTAGCATGTAGATGTGTTTTTATAATAAGTGATTTTATATTGAAAGGAAGGAGATCAGTTTCCTCTGATCTGGACAGGATACAGCATCTGTCAGTTTTATGTTTTTAAGTTTTCCGTTTTGCACCGAAAACGATGTGTGACAGTTTGTCAGGTAGTGTCTGAATTCTTGAATATTGTGAGCTCACAGTGACCTTTGAGCATGAAAATCTTACCCTCCATGGGACAAATGGACACCTGAAAACACGACAGCTCTGGGCACAGCTGTTTCTGATGTCGGGGCATTGGAGGATTCTGCCTTGTTTGACATTTCTTCCTTTTATATGAAGACTTCAGAATAAAAGCACAGAATATAGAAACGGAGCAAAGAGTGAAGAAACAAAGTGAAACAAAAGACTTCTTTCACATCAACAAGAGTTTGAAGACAAAACGCTCTCCTCCAGGAACCGCAGAACCGTTTGAAGTAGGTTCACCACTACTCCTCTGAAGGAGGAGGAAAGGAGCCCTACCCCCTCCTTTTATATGGTTTGGAGGGTTTTGGCCTCCTCCGCCCTCCCTCTGTTTCCCCTCCTCCTCTTTGGTTGACTGGCTCCATGCCTGGAGTCCTGCAGGGCCACTGTCCCCAGAACCACAGCCCGTGTGCTCCTGTTTATCCCTCCTCCCCCTCCTGCCTCCCCCCTCTGCAGCACCATAACAACCACATGTTATTTTAATTAGAGTCCTCCTCTTCTCTGCCCCACGTTTTCACTCCCTCTCTTGTTTGGAAACATCCAGAGGCGAGCTGAAACAATCGGCCGAATAATCAATTTATTGATCGACGGAAACGTAATCGGCATCTGTTCTGATCATTGATTGTCGGAGGCCTGAAAATAGATTAAAAGCAAATGTTGTCAGGTTTGTGAAGTGGAAATGGTCCAGTAACGCTGGATCCAAAGCTTCCTTACTTGGAAAGCAGTACATTTCTTCAGCCTTACTTTATAAATCGATGTGAACGATGCTAAAATAATGAAAGTAGACGAAAACAAAGGAACAATCTGTTCCTCATATTATTATATGAACAGTTTACAACACTTATCTGAAGGACCTTCATATTGAAGTGTAAAGATCCTAAATATTAGAGAGGCTCATGTGATCACTGGGCTCTGTGAGCAGTACTTGGTGATGATGGGGAGGAAGAACACTCTTTTAACAGGAAGAGACCTCCAGTAGAGGGAGGGTCAGCCTTTGGTAATAATGGTACATGCACAGCAGCCCTCAACTTGGTCCAAAGAAGCTGCGCGTGTTCAAGTTTCCAACCGTTAATTCTCCAGTCTTTAACCTGGCAGCTAATGCTAACCGTCCCAGACAATCACTGCTAACGGCCGGCCATCATGTGTGCTGCCTCCTGCACGCTCGACCAGGTGTTTCTCTACCTAAACCACAGAGTAGCTCCTGCTGTGTGCTACATGTGGAAGACATCCCAGCCTGTTGCTGCTGAAATAGTCCAAAGACACACAGCATCTGGGTTCATGAAAAGCTTTTTATACAGTCAGAATATTGAGATCTACATTGGTCATTTCCACAGTCCAACCACTGTCTGCCACAGTCTCTGCAGGTAAACTATTCATTATAAAATGGACCTCTGAAAACACCAAGTCATCCTCATTTAAAGTGGTCCAATCAGATCTTAATAAAATGATTAAACCTGGCTGACAACTAAAATGTACCCACAGTTGTTGTGTTGTAGAATCGAAGATAAAGAGTACAGTTACAATAAAGGACTGCTGTGACGATCCACACACACACACACACACACACACACACACACACACACACACACACACACCTTTGTGCATGTGGGAAGTGAGCGGCTGCAGCGATCAGGACACATCAGCAGCTAATCGGTCTGAAGAGCGCTGACCCGGTAGCCTCCTGCCACATCAATGTCCATATGGTTTCATTGTTAGCACGTCCTGTCGGATCATATCTGTGTCACCGCCTTGGTTGTTTACGTCGACCTCATGAAGACGTCTGAATGGATTATTATTAGACCTTATCTAATGAAATATTAACTGACACATCCGTCTGTTTTTGGACCACTTTCTCCTCTTTGAGCCTTTCTGGGAAGACTGATTGAAGAGTTGGTGTAGGTAGAGATAGATGTTGGAGCACACCTCCACCTTCTCAGGCAGGCGTGCAGCAGATGATTCTGCTGATTGTTGTGCCACAAACCTCTGTGCTTTGCACGTTTAGACTCAAACCATCGCCGCTGTCACCAAATCAGCCGAGACTGAAGTGTCAGAGCTGCTCCTCAGTGTTCTGCGATGCTGGTGGGTTGTTTTCTTTCAGCAGGCACTGAAGAGGGTGTCTGTACCCTCACAGTGAACCGTCACCCTGCTGTGCTTCCAGCGCCCTCTGCTGGCCACACCCTGCCCAAACCCAACCCGCTGTCAGTGCTGCTGAACTTTCCCTCTCCAGGCCTTGAAAAGTTTGGAATAACCTGCACATGACCTTGTGTGCGTGTGTGTCTCCTGCTGTTTTAGTGGTGAAGTAATATGTTAGCTGCATGTCAGGAAGGTAAAGACTCATTCAGTCATTCTTCAGTGGAGAAGCAGGAGGCCTCTGGTCTTTAATTTAACACACACACACACACACACACACACACACACACACACACACACACACACACACACTCCTCCCCCTCCAGCCTTCAGCAAAAAGGAGATTGGCGGTCGACTCCTTCGTGGTGCGCACACAAACACGAGCTCACACTTCAAAGCTCTCTGACTACACACTTGCAGAGTGACGTCATTGTCGGTCTGTTCTTGTTGTTTGTCCGAACAGACAGAAAAAACGGAGACGCCCTGAATGTTTCAGTGTCGGGTCCGAGTTCTGCTCGCTTTAAAGGAAAAGCTGGAACGGCTTGGACCAGGAAACATCATCACTTTGAAAACAAACGAGGAAAACGTCTTCTCAGAGAGATGGTTTAAAAGTTTACATGTTACATCAGCTGTTTTAGTGCGGGCCCTTTAGGACCTCCTCCACGTGAGAAGAGGACCTGCACCATGGCATCTTTGTGTGTGACCCTAGCAAAAAAAAAAAAAAGTGGGTGGGGAAAAGGTGGGTGTTCAACTTGATTGGGGAAACTTAAAATGTTCCCATCATAACCAGCTAAAGTAACCCCATCACTTCCTGCCTTTTTCTTTTTTCAGTCTTTTTGCTTTTGAATTTATTAAAACGAAGAAAAAAAAACAACATTTCTTCAGTGGGCTGCTGTCTAGGGTCAAAGGTCATGTCATCTGGACCTCAGAGAGCGTTTCCTTCATCCATCACAACCAGCTGGACACAAAGTTCCTGCTGGGCTTTAGCTCTGGTTCTGATGTTTAGTTATCATTTTGAACAGGGTGCCACTGAGAGTGTTTTCTATTGTCCTTAACCAACCAATGAGCACGCACTACAGCGTGACTGCTGATTGTTTGGGTTTTTTTGTTTTTAGTTAGTCGTCTTATTTAATTTCTGACAGATTTTTGATGCTGTCTGACTTTCTCCTGAGCGCCCCCTGCTGTACTTCAGCTAAACTGCAGTCATTTTAACAGGAAGTGGAATGGCGCCTTTCCATCGGCTCTCCATGTGACTCTCCCCTCTCTCTCTGCAGGCTTATGGCTGGGCGCTGCAGGGTATGCGTCACCTAGCTGGGATCAGTATGGAGGACTGCACACTGCCAGACAAATGCCAAGCTGTGATTGGCTGCCTGGAGGACTACCAGCGTCTGCACCCACCAATCCCAGACGCCTGTTTTCAGGAAATGAAGGTGGCTGCGGGTGAACTGCGGGGCGAGCGAGGCCTTCGTCAGTGGAGCTTCGCTTGGTCAAAGTGTCAAGAGACCAAGAAGATGTTTGACAGGAAGATGGAGGCAGCACTCAAGACGCGTGACTCCGCCCACAGGCGCCGCTCTGACTCTGCCACCAGCAGGAGCTCCATCTCCTCCAGGAAGTCTCTGTCAGGACTCTGGCTCTCCTCCCGCCTGCCAGAGGAGAAAACAAATGCCTCCTCGGTTCTTTCCATTACCTCCACCCCTGCTGGCTCCGCCTCCCCTCCCACCCCGCAGCACACGCCGCTCCTCCGGCGACTTTTTCGCAGCTCCTCCTCAGACGAGTCCTCAGACCGTGTGGATATCACTTCCTGCAGTCCCAGACTCCACCGCCTGGATTCTTCTCCCTGCTTCACTCCATCGTCGTCTTCCTTCTCCCTCTCCTCTTCCTCCTCTTCCTTCTCCTGCAGACGACAGCAGCTCAGGAAGACTCAGAGTTTCGACTGCCCCGCCACCCCGGAGACGTCGCGCTACAGCCCGTCTGCTCGCGCCCTCAGCGAGCCAGTGCGCAGAGGAAACACGGGTGTGTTCATTCGTGGTCTGGAGGTCAGCAGCACTGAGGCAGCAGACCGCACGCTCTGCCCCAGGACGCCTTCTCACAGCTGGGGAGGACAGGGGCCACATAGCCCTGGGACACCCAGCACACCCACCGGAGAACCCCGACCCAGGAGCAGGTGGGTAATCCTGGTTCTCAGACTGAATTTGTAGACTGACACTTCTCTGCTGACATCTGTGTGTGTGTGTGTGTGTGCAGCAAGCTGCGTCACATTGTGGAGGAGATGGTGAACACGGAGCGCGAGTACGTCCGCTCACTGCGTTACATCATACATCACTACTTCCCTGAGATGGACCGAGCAGACCTCCCGCAGGATCTCAGGGGGAAACGCACCGTCGTCTTCGGCAACCTGGAGAAACTCCTCGACTTCCACAGCCAGTTTTTCCTGAAGGAGCTGGAGGCCTGCTCGAAGCACCCGCTCAGAGTGCCGCACTGCTTCCTCAGACACGTAGGGGACACACACACACACACACACACACACACACTCTTCATATGTACTCTGTGTGAATGTGTTTGTTGTTTGTGTTGAACAGCAGGAGCAGTTCGGTCTGTACGCTCTTTACAGCAAGAACAAACCCAAGTCTGACGCTCTTCTGGCGAATCACGGACACTCCTTCTTCAGAGTGAGAACTACAACCACCACCTCTGACCTTTGACCTTTATGTGACCTCATATTTGTACTCGCACTAACCCCTGCCCCCCTCGTTCCTGCAGAGGAAGCAGCTGGAGCTGGGCGATAAGATGGACCTGTCCTCCTACCTGCTGAAGCCCGTTCAGAGGATGAGCAAATACGCGCTGCTCCTCACTGACCTCATGAAGGAGGTGGGCGTGGCACAGGAGGCGGAGCTTACGGCACTGCAGTCTGCCACCAATATGGTCAAGTTCCAGCTTCGCCATGGAAACGACCTGTTGGCCATGGACGCCATTCGAGACTGTGACGTAAGTGTAGCCTGATCTGAGCTCAGGTGAAACTCGTGTTCTAGACTCACCAGAAATATTGATCTGAGGTGAAAGTTCCCTCCACATCACACATGAATCATATTCAAGGAGCAGAACTTCTGGAACTGATCACTTGTTCCAAAATCCTTGATGATGGTCTCCTAAAAATTTCTGGATCCAAAATCCTGAAAAACTTTTTTTAGTAGTCCAACTAAAAACCAATCACACGACCGCCTTGATGGACATGATTACCACAGTAAGATGGGAGGTTTGTGTTTGTGGGTTTCATCATAAAGACGGAGCTCAAGGTGAGACGTTTAAATTGGACCGTGTCGTTAAAAGCTCCCTCTTTGTGTTTTCTGCTCTTTTAAGTTAAACAGCGTAACAGTATCAGAAACTATTTTCCATATATGCTGTGAAATACTCCAGAAGCCAGTTCAGAGGCTTCCTCCAGCAGACTGCAGCTCCCTGTGAGGCTGGGGGTAGCCTCCAAAAAGCCTGACCAGCCATTCCTTTGTGTTAGATTACCAAACTAAGGGCTGTGTCCCATGAGCCTCAGCAGAGCCGCTTTTACGGTCTTTTACTTTCTTATAATCCTGTTTTAGCGTCATCGTTCGTGCCCAAGTCTACAACGTCTTAAATTAAGTTTCGATGGACCTTATGAACTTAATTAAATCGGCTACTCTTAGGAATTAAACCCAATCAGCTCTTCTTCTTCTGCCTGCAGGTGAACCTGAAGGAGCAGGGTCAGCTGATCCGGCAGGACGAGTTCACTGTCTGGAGCGGGAGGAGGAAATGTCAGCGTCGCATCTTCCTGTTCGAGGAGCTCGTCCTCTTCAGTAAACCTAAGAAGATGGAGGGAGGGCTGGACGTCTTCATCTACAAACACTCCTTCAAGGTAAGCTCTCCAAGAGCAGGCGAGCCCACGCCAACCGTGAGGCGAGGAATTTTCTGAGCAGAAAACGTGTGCCTGTGCTGCAGACGGCGGACGTTGGTCTGACAGAGTCGACGGGGGACAGCGGGCTGAAGTTTGAGATCTGGTTCAGGAGGAGGACATCCAAGAATCAGACCTTCATCCTTCAGGCGACAACGACGGACGCAAAACACGCCTGGACAAACGACATCGCCCGAATCCTGTGGACCCAGGCCACGAGGAACAAAGGTGCGGATGGCGGAGCGTTCAGGAGAGCGTCGGTGTCGGAGATCAACTCACCCGTTTGTCTTTCTGCCAGCAGAGATGCGTTTGAAGGAGATGGTGTCGATGGGCGTGGGCAACAAACCGTTCCTGGACATCCAGCCGAGCGACGCGGCCATCAGCGACCGAGCCGTTCACTACATGATGAAGACCAGAGGTGCCGCTCAGACTTTACTTTCACTAGAATTCACCAATCAGCTCGTTAGTTACTGATGATCAAAAAGTAAAACGGTGATTGGGTCCTTCAGGTGCCAGAACGCGGGCGTCCATCGCCGTCTCCGTCTTCGACCATTCGAATCCTTTTAAAAGGGGAACGGTGACCTCTGACCCTGCAGCATTAGGCCCGTCTTCAGCCAGCCTGCTGGGACCGCTCAATCTGCACATGTACAGGTGAGACTTACCTGTCCTGCTGTCAAAGGTCAAAGGTTCTTGTGCTGGTTTTATAACATCCTCCTCCCTCCTGCAGTCAGAGCATCCCCCCTCCTCCCACCGCTCAGAGCTCCTTCAGCGCTTCGTGCATCGAGGAGGACGAGCAGGAGCACGAGACCAGCAGCCAGCCCTCCATGAGTACGTCAGCACACACCTAAACTCATGAGTCTCAGATTAGGTTTGAGTAATCTTCGTCCCAATCCTCCAGCCTCTTCACTTTAACGCCTGACTGCAGTTTCTTTTTCTTTTTTCTGTCTTCAGCCACTGAGAGTTCAGGTTCGTCGTCTCGCTGCCTCTCCGGCTCTACTGGCTCCGACAGCGGCTGCGTGTCCTCCCACCTCCAGGAAGCGCTGCCCGAGGAGCCCTCCCCCTCTTCCCCCAGCAAACTGCACCTCAACAGCCCGTACATTTCAGCTGTGAGTGCAGGCAGCGCCATGAAGGAGGCGGAGTTAGAGCATTTTTAAATATGTTTGTCATCTCTCCGAGCGGCTCGGTGATTCTCTGGGAATTTCTCTGAGTTTATAAATGTTTGGTTGATGGTGTTCTCCGTCTGTCCTCAGAAAGCAGCTGCAGTCATCAGCCCGGCAACCATCGTGTGATCAGCTCGCCTGAATGACGTTCCTGTAAGTCTGCAGGTCCTCACAGAGGGATTGTGTTTGGGGGGGAAAACTGGAAATGGGCAAACCCTGATGGCTTTTTGGGTTATTGCAGAAAATAAGCGGGAAAGCAAAGTATGAGAATATAAATCAAAAAGGGAAGCAAAAGAAAAAAAGGCATACAACCCGAGCAAACTGTTAATGATAACGTTAACCATGCGAGTCTTTCTAAAGACAGGCAGGCAGACGTAAAGGCTGACACATGAAGCAAAAGCTATAACAATGAGTTCGCAACAGATCAGAGACTCGGTGAGCTCAGGATGGTCGCCTTTAAGTAATCTGCATTAATCTAAGCCCCGCCCCCAAGAAAACACTGATCACCAGGTAAAAATATAAACGAGTAAAACACGATTTCAGCGTCTGCTGGAGGTCACCGACTGGTCTCTGTTTGGTCTGATGACCCCAGTCTCATGTCTCTGAGGTGATGCGCGAGACCTCCATACATACCTTAAATCCGTCTGTGTGTGCGCGCAGGTTCGTCTGCTTCCTGCTGCAGTTCTGCGTTTCCTCCTGTTTGACCCGGACGTCGGACAGCTGCTTTCATTTGTGTTGTAAATAAGGACAGTTTGAGTTCGTCTCCTCGCCGCCGCGTCCGTTTGTCATGCTGACCCAGGGTCAGTCTGCGGGCGGGCCGGCGTGCTGTGAGGATGGCAGGTTTGTGTCTGTACATGTGTGTAAATAAACCCTCAGCTGAGCGTCTGCTGCCACTTTTTACTTGAATAATAAACTGAGTTTGTTCACATGCTTCCTGTTCTGTGTTCTCTCTGAGATCAGCTGACCTGGAGCCAAACACACTCTTACACACTTTTACGGAATAATACAGAGACAACAGCCTCAGTTTTTCACGTCATTACTGTTACGTCGACTTGTTTTTCCAGTGAACTTGAAAATCATACAGCACCTCTCTTCTGATCGTACTGTGACATGCAGAGTTACACCTATAGGATCTCATTTACCACCTGTACAAGTAAATTACTAAAAACTAATTTTAAATAAGCATCAAAGTTTCATCATCACACAACCCAACATCTCCTGCACACGTTGAGGTCAGGCGAGTGTTTCAAACAGCTGTAGGAGAAATCATTTCAGCCTCAGCCCGGATCACCTCAGTGAGCCCGAGGCATCCTCTCCTCGCTGCAGCAGCTGAGCGATTAAAGATGAAAAACAAACCAGATGGTAGAAAAAGTTGTTTATTGTTCATCAGCTGAAGCAGCGACGCTCCAACCATCTCAGAGCAAACGGAAGACACTGATGGGGTCAGAGGTCACCGAACCCTACTGAATCAGTCTTGTGAATTTCACATTAAGAGCCTCTGGTCTGCAGCCCTTTTCTTTGATTCAGATTAAAAAAAGAAAACATCCAGCTCCTCCTCAGAGCCTTCATCTGTTTCACCCTCATCAGTAACTTTCAATCCCAGCCGACACCAAAGTCCCAAATATAAAACTTTATTAAACATCCGTCTTTCCATGTGCTGAAGTGACAAGGCTTTTAATCTGAAAGTCACATTTAAAATAAACTCTAGTTTCCTACTAAAAGTATGACCTCTGACAAGCACATCGATGCGTCTGACGACCTGTGTGACCAATCAGAGCACAGTAACACAAACTCCTGATAAAAGGAAAAAGTGGTTTTTGCATAGCGAATTACAAAGTGCTGAAAAGTACAAAAACACGTCGAGCACGCCTCCTTCAGCTCTTCGTTAATCTTTAAGACGTTCGGACTGGACATAAAGATGGATGACAGGAAGTGAGGAAACGTGGTACACAGGTCACAAACCCCGCCCCCTCCAAGTACATTCTTACTGTTTTTTGATTGCGTGCTTTAGACTGATGTCTGTGGCCGTGATTGGCAGCTTCTCTGATTGAGGTCAGAATTATTCCGCATTAAACCAGAATGGCGGATACTCTGAGGAAGAGGCGGCATGTCATCCATCTTTATTTACAGTCTGTGGCTGTGACAGGAAGCCGAGCGGAGTAAAATAAAAGCACTGCTGCTGTAAACAAACGTGCACACGGGCTTCATCTGCAGCTGCTGAGCGTCTGTTCCCGCTGAACTCGGGATCAAGCCCAAATTCAATTTTTAGGAATTTTCCAGAAGCTAAATCACTGAAAGTATTTTTCCTCCGAAGGAACTGGAGGAACAGATTCTGCAGGCTTTGAGCTGAGCAGGAAGTGCTCAGGGGGGTAAGCCAAGTTTGCTGATACCACCTTGCATCTCACCAGGCTCCAGTAAAAACGAGTACAGACGAATTTCAGACAAAAATGGGATATTTAATCACTTAAACTGGCACCGGTGGCTGTCTTTTCTGAGCCTGGTTCTGCTGGAGGGTACTTCCTGTTAAAAAGATGTTTTTCCTTCCCACTGTCACCACTTGCACACGGGCGCTTTCTGTTATTGTAGGGTCTTTATGAAGTACTTGAATATATAAAAAAAAAAAACCCACACTGCTTCTGATATACTTCACGATATTTGTAAAACTAGAAACCCATCTAAAGCCAGACAAAAACAACCAACGGCAACGCGCCTCACTCATTTTTGGCGAGCTCAGGACAGACGTCACAAAATCTCTCCGCTTTCACTCTGCCTTCACGGAAACAGTCAGGAGGGATTATATGAATTCGAGGACTTTCCAAAAAGCTGAAAGTAGCTTCAGTTTATATCCCGTGTTTCCATCTTGCTTCCCGCCGTTGTTTGGGGTGTTTTGGGATAGTCGTGACGGTCAAAGTTATCGCAGAATATCGGCTGCAAAGGTTTAAGAGCTCAAGCTCCTTCCGCGGAAACAGCTTTTCAGAGAAAACTGCAGGAAACTAAAAGTTTGACTTTACGTTTCCACGCCGTGCTCATCGAATTTAATCAATCGTTGTTGTCAATCACATCTTTTACGATAATAAATATATAGTTTCAGCCAATGAACCGATCGGGAGTCAGAAAGAGGAAATCTAACACCAGCAGCTGCACATGAAAATAAAACACTTCAAAATAAAAGCGCAGGTTGTACAGTTCCTTTGAAAACGTACAAAATAAAAGTAGCACGTGTGCTATTAAACGACTAAATACAAAAACACAGAAAAGCATCAAAAGTAAAAATAGAAGCTTCTTCGCGTCTTTGAACAGAGAAGAAAAAGCTGCTTCGCAGGGACTTTCTCTGCTTTCATACATATTTATCACAGAGACGTTTTAAAGGAACAGAATTAACTAAAAGATAAAATATAAAACTATTAGTTCTGTTTAGTTAAAATAAACTCTGAAAGGAAATGAAGGCTGGAGGTCACATGAAGGTTAAGACATTTTAGTGAACACAAAATTTAAAACTTGATAATATTTTTATGATTTCCACTCGTCTGTTCGAAGCCCGCCGATCTTACTGGGCTTTTACTTCCTATGTTTGAGTTGGAAATTCAAGATTGAAATGAAAATGATTTTATACATTTTTATATATATTTATTTTAATTTTTTCAGCTGATTTCCTGCAAAGTTTCCTAAAATACAAAGCTGCACATTTCAGGACGTTTTCAAAGGTCCTGCACAGTTTGCCTCTGATAACCAACATCAGGTAAGTTCCTGTTGTTCAGCTTATTTTTAGGCGGCGTGCAGGAGATTAGCTGAAGCGATCTGACACAGGCCTGAACCACGAAGCAGGACCTGGGCTTAGAGACCTCAGGTTTAACCAGGTTTTGGGGTTTGTGACGGCGGTGCGCGAGGCTGTAAACCTGTGCACAGAGATTCAGAAAACCTGGTTTGGCTTCACAACCACCGTGTTCCCACTTTTCACGATTAGATCAAGATGAGACATACGAGGTGCGATCGGAAAGTTCAGTTACGGTGTTTATTAAAAAAAATAAAAATTAAAAAATGGAAAACATTGATTCTGATTTGAATTTGGTCGAAGACTCTTTGGGAATGAGTTGCTGCCCCATCGGAGAAGTGTGTTCATGAGTGAGGGAGGCAGGAAGCGAGAGCCTGACGGATGGATTTGTAGATGCCGACAGAACAGAGACCCGAGCGAGATCCAGCCGTCATCGCGGGTGATTGTGGAGCTGCTGATGTCCACGCCTGACCTCTTAGACTCCCACTGACTCAGGACTGAATGTTACCGCCTGGCTGAACTCTTTAATCGCACCTCGTATCCTTGGTTACCTGCTTCGTAGTCCAGGCCGCTGGTCTGTGATTGGTCAGTTGCTGTAAGAGTCGGACTGAAGCCTCTGCAAGAGTCTGCTACATGTCTGATCCTTAAATGCTTCATCCTCAATGCGTAAAATCAGAGGAGAGGGCGGAGCCACAGCTCTACCCACTTTGGTACAAACAGTCATCGGCCTTGTCCTTCATCGCCATCATCATCATCATCGTCGCCTCCGTGTTCTCGCTGCAACAAACACTGAGATGCTGCGTTGGCTCAGCCTCCAACTGCTGAGCTGACAGCAGACAACAAGAAAACAGAAGAAGAAGAAGAAAAGGAGGAGGAGTCACAGCAGGCTTCTAAACTGTCCACAGGTTGTTCCTCAGCTCCTGCTGCAGGAGGAGGAGGTCTGAGCTGAGGCTCCGCCTACAGCAGCGAACACCTGAACAGGCTCTTCTTGGAGCGGGGCTCCGTGATCTTGATGGGCCCACCTCCACCTGACGGGTTGTTGTCGTTCTGCAGGAAGAAAGGAGGTCAAAGGTCACATCAGTTATAAGAGCAGAGCGGGGCTGATTATGGCGATTAACAGAATCTCCTGCTCACGGTGACCAACTCCGTCTTTAATTTTAGCGGCACGTTCATCCCCGCATGTTCAGCTGATAAAGTCATTTACATATCTGGAGCCAGCTGCTCGAGTCGGAGCGCCGCCTCCGCAGACCTCAATCTGCTCAACTCACCATTTTCCTGTTGAGCCTGGCCATGATGTCTCGGGCGAGCGTGTAGAAGCCCTGTGAAGGGAAACGGGACAGAAATGAGTCGCCTCGTGTGCGCGGGACTGACGGAGGAGACGGCGGATCGGGATCAGGACTCACCTCCTCCACGTTGATATTGGACTTGGCGCTTGTTTCCAGGAACTTGATCCCGTAGTCGATGGCGAGCTGGAAAACCAAAGAGAAAGGGATTACACCCAGGTAGAAGAAATGGTTGAAGTGACATTTAAAGCATAAGTTCAGAAGCGTTTTCTCTCATTAAGGCTGAAATCAGTGTGCAGCGTTTCTAACTGTCAGCAAATGAATCCCTGAAGCAAAGCAAAG